CGTTTTCTTATTCACTGTTTTGCCGATCGGCGCGGGCCCTCGCACCTCCCTCCCTCCCCCCCCCCCCCATGGAGTAGATCTTGGCTGTTTTTGGCGCCTGTTTCGAGTAGGTGGAGCCTCCCCCATAGGACGCACTGCTGCACACAGTCGCATTAAGCAGAGGTCGGGAGCCAGACCCCCCCTCCCCCCCCTTCCGCTCAATGTTGAAACGCCGAACAAGAAAACGCTCACAAGCGCGAAACAAAAAGAGAGGCACGGTCAAGACGCCGAAAGAAGGGCCGCCTTGGGCTCTGGATGGGGCTCGGGTTGTCAGAGAGGCACGGTCCGGGCGCCGAGAGCCCTCCCTTCTCCTCCCTTCTCCTCCCTCCTCCTCCCTCCTCCTCCACCTCCTCCCTCTTCCTCCTCCTCCTCCTCCCTCCTCCTCCTCCTCCTCCTCCTCCTCCTCCTCCTCCTCCTCCTCCTCCCTCCTCCTCCTCGGGGCTTCTTTTCCCGAGGCCCGCCGTGGCCAGAAGAGGGTCCCTCCGTTCCCTGGTGTGCGTTCCTGGCGCGCCGGGGTCGTTGAAAAAGTAGGTACGTAGCACCCCGCAGTGGCGGACAAGAGTGAGGGGGCGGCGGGGACGTCGGCAGTCTGCGAGGCTCCGGAGAAGCCCGCCGCAGGCGCCCAGTGTTTACAAATCGTACCACGGGCCCGCCGATTTTTCGTTAGAGCAACGTGGGTGGGTCGCGAGGTGGGTCGCGGGGTGGGTCGCGGGAGGGTCGCGGGTGGGTCGCGGGTGGGTCGCGGGTCGGGTCGCGGGAGGGTCGCGGGTGGGTCGCGGGTTGGGTCGCGGGTGGGTCGCGGGTGGTTCGCGGGCCGGGTCGCGGGGGGGCGACGCCAAGCAACAACAACAATGACAACAACAGCAACAACACCATTACCACCACCACCACCAACATCAACAACAACACCGACAATAACAACATCAACAACATCAACACAGCAGCAACAACAACAACAACCACAACACCATCAATAACAACAGCAACAGCAACAACACCGACATCAACAAAATCGACATCAATCATTGTAAGACTGGTCGCTCTCATCTGCTCGCGAGTCAATCAACACTTATATCCCAAACCTTCGATACCCGCCCTCTTCGTCTTCGATCGTACCCCCCTTGGGGGTGAATCTTCCTCACCTGCAACGTGCATTTCGTGCAGCCCCTGAGGCAGGGGAAGAGGGGACGGATGGAAGGAAGGGACAAGGGGAATGGAGGATGATGGAGCACAAGAGAGAGAGAGAGAGAGAGAGGGAGAGAGAGAGAGAGAGAGAGAGAGAGAGAGAGAGAAAGAGAGAGAGAGAGAGAGAGAGAGGGAGAGAGAGTAGCAGAAGGGGGGCTAGGAACAGAAAGCCAGTGGCAGAACCAGACGGGCAGATCGTGCGGATAGGCCCTAACGGGCGGACCGGGAAGGCGGACCCGGGCGGTCAGGTCGAGCAAGCGGGTTGCTGAAGTGTGCGTCTTGCATGAATCGCGAGGAAGTCTCGAGCGATAGCGCGATCTGCAGCGGGGCCACGAAGGGCAGCGAGGGGGCCACGAAGGAACGGGGCCACGAAGGGTAGCGAGGGGGCCACGAAGGGCTGCGACGGGGCCACGAAGGGCTGCAACGGGGCCACGAAAGGCAGCGATGGGGTCCACGGAGGGCTGCAACGGGGCCACGAAGGGCAGCGAGGGGGCCTCGCAGGGCTGCAACGGGGCCACGAACAGCAGCGAGGGGGCCACGAAGGGCTGCAACGGGGCCACGAAGGGCAGCGAGATCCCGATTCGTAGGTAAGCTGTGAGGGAGTCCTAGGCGGGAGCGCGACTCCTGGGTGCCTTCGTGTCGGGAGCGCGGCGCTTGAGTACGTTGTGGGGAATTCCAACGCGAGAGCGGGCGCTCTGGATGAATTGTACAGAAGTCCCAATAAAGTGCGAGGAAGTCTCAGGCGGGAGCGGGGATCCTGGCTAAATTGTGAGGAAGTCTCATGCGGAAACCGTTGTTGTTGTAATCTGGGGGCCAGGGGCGCAGTTTGACTCTTGTGATTTCCTTTGATAAAAACATGGTGCGATCCCCAGTGGAATAATTTTGATTGAAAACACAATGGTCACCAGAGGGGGGATCAACAAACATTATTCTTCACCAGTGAGGGTGCAACAACAACACCAACGCCAACACCAACAACAATAACACTAACAACAACAGCGACACCACCACCACCACCACCACCACCACCACCACCACCACCACCACCACCACCACCACCACCACCACCACCACCACCACCACCACCACCACCACCACCACCACCACCACCACCACCACCACCACCACCACCACCACCACCACCACCACCAACAAAAACATCAACAGCAACACCAACAATATCAACAACCACCGGAATCCCACTTTAGCCACGCACCCAGGGACAGTGAATGATCGTTCAGCCCCCTCATTATGATCTTCAGATTCCCAGATCCCAGTCTACTTTAGTCGCCTCCCTACCTCAAGAGTCGAGCGTCTTCCCTCCTCCCTCCTCTTCGGGGGGCGGGCCGAAGCCCAGTCTACTTCCAACGCCTCCATGCTTCATGCTTCTACCCATATCATCTGGCCGACGGGTACAGTGGAAACCCATGCCGAGAAACACCCTGCTTGTCTCCAGGGTTTCCTGGGTTTCTTGTTTCTTGGCTTTCGATGGTTTTTCTATGGAGAGCGTGGCGTTCCCACACCAAGCATTGGTGGACGTCCTGGGGTCTCAGGGCGGGGACTCAGGCGGAAGGCTTCTTTTGGTCGAGCTCCTACCGTATGGTAGCACGACGACTGCAGGGAGGCTTGGCGGCGATGGGGGCCGCGCGCGCAGGCGACCATCAGGCTGCCCCCGCCCGAAGGCGCGCGCCCGCGACGGGGGGCCGCGCGCGCGCCAGGCGGGGGCGGAGGGAGCGGGGGTGTAGCGACACCTGCTGCCTGCCAGAGGCCTCTGGGGGAGGGGGGCGAGGAGGTAAAGGAGGAGGAGGAAGGTGAGGATGAGGAGGAGGAGGTGGTGGAGGAGGAGGAGGAGAAGGAGGAGGACCAGTGTAAACCCAAGAGCCATCAACGATGTTGGAATACACCCTCCCTCCAAGCTCCCTCTTCATAGGCCCCTGCGAAGGTTCATTTCCATTGAGGGATCTGCCTCGTTGGAAGACAACCGTTTGAAGACCCGGAAGCATGGCAAAACATTGTTCTCGGGATTCCAACGCCACAGATCAACCTGATAGTTGCATCTTGACGGTCCCCGGATCATGCCAGAACGCCAGTCTTGGGAGTTCAACACCGCGAGTCAACGTAATTGTTCCGCCCGCAAGATCATGAATCCGTCCAAAATACGATTTCTGGTACGTTGATCATGGGAATCCGTCTCTTGCAAATTTGAAAAAGGAATGTGCGCGGCGCTAGAGCGAGAGCCACATTGTGAAAAGGGGTTATCCTCAATCCGTGAAGCTCTTGCAATTTTTGAACACGAATGTGCGCGGCGCTAACACGAGAACCACATTTTGAGAAGGAGCTGTCCTCAATCTGTGAAGCTCTTGCACATTTTTAAAACGAATGTGCGCGGCGCTAACGCGAGAGCCACATTTTGAAAGCCACTCGCCCTCCATCTGTGATGCTGTTGTCAATGTTTCAACTTCAGAGTCATACATGTTGAGGAAGTCTCAGGCGAAACGCCCGGCCCGCCCTGAAAGCTGGCTTCGGGGTGCGACAGGGAGAATTTATTGATAAGGAAAAGGAATGGAGGAGGAGAAGAAGGAGGAAAAAGAGGAGGAGGAGGAAGAGGAGGAGGAGGAGGAGGAGGAGGAGGAGGAGGAGGAGGAGGAGGAGGAGGAGGAGGAGGAGGAGGATGGAGGAAGATGGAGGAGGAGGAGGAGGTTTCGGCCCCGCCGCCGGGCTCATTGCTCGATACATAGGCGCGGGGAGGCGCCGGGAGAAGCAGCTTCGTGAGCTGATTCGCGAATGTCCCCCTGGCTTTCCCCCTGTCGTTCGACCCGAGGGGAAGGCGGACGCCACTCCTCTCGAAGAGGACACACAGCAAGGGCAGCGTTCGAGGGGGGTGGCTCGGAGGGCGGAGTGTCCGAGGTCTGGGATGGTTTCCATCAGCTGCGCCTTGTCGAGAACGTCCTGGGGGTGCCAGGATCGTATCGAGCGGCCGGCGGAGGCTTGAGTAATGGCCCCCGAACAGATGGGCGGCGAAAGGGGGGGATGGGGTTAGGGGGTGCGCATTGACCCCAATCGCCCACTTCTCGCCGATGAGCCCCCCCAGCCCAGGAGCGTACGGATCTGCTGTCGGGGGCCTATCGCCGATCTATCGGCGACGTGTCGCCGAGTCAGGCTCGATGTTTCTCCCCTGAGCTGGTCCTCCCCCATCGTTTTGCCTCATCTTGTCTAGACCTCGCGCGGCCCGCTCGGACCTTGACACGCCGTCGGCGCGCTCGCCTGCGGCTGGCAACAAAAAACACATCCCACCAGCTTCAGCGCGGCCCGCTTCGACGCGGTCCGCCGTAGCTTTGCCCAGCTTTCGATTTTCATCCCGAGCCCGCGAACCAAAAAGTATCCCGACCAGCCCGTTCAGAAACCCTGCCCATGAGAGTTTACCGAACAGGCACATATGGTGAAACAAAGAGTGCAACCAGGATGAAGAGAGAGAGAGAGAGAGATCTCTGCGAGCAAGGGGTTGGCCTTTGAGGGCCTCTTTGGGCCATGCTTGGGGCCCGCGGGGTGGGAGGAGGAGGAGGAGAGGAGGAGGAGAGGAGGAGGAGGGAGGAGGAGGAGGAGGAGGAGGAGGCGGAGGAGGAGGCGGAGGAGAGGAGGGGAGGGGTGGGAGGAGGAGGAGGAGGAGGCAGGGAGGAGGAAGAGGAGGAGGAGGCGGAGGAGGAGGAGGTGGAAGAGGATGCAGAGGAGGAAAAGTACACGTGCGGGGGCCTCGTCGCTTTCCCAACGGCCCCGTTAGGCCAGCCCTCGGCCGGGACGGGGCGGCGGCCCGCCCGCCGCGCGCGCCCGCGCGATGACCACCGCGCGCATGGACCAGGCGAGGTGGCGCGCGGCGGTGCTCGCGGACGCGCCCAGGGGGCTCCTTTGCCCTCCTCCTCCGACCCTCCTCCCTCCTCCTCCTGTTCCCCTTTCTCCTCCTCCTCGCCCTCTTCCTCCTCCGCCTCCTCCTCCTCCTCCTCCTCCCACCTTCTCCTCCTCCCGCCCTCCTCCTCTTCCTCCTCCTCCTCCTCCGCCTCCTCCTCCTCCTCCCACCCTTTTCCTCCCATCTTCCCCTTCCTCCTCGATTCGACTCGTTTTCGAGGGCCTCCGACCAGGGCTG